TCGCTGAACAAATATGCACTAGAAGGAAGTGGAGATGGATTGGGCATACACTGAGAAGGCCAACTGGAGACATCACGCGCCACGTCAGTGTCTCGAGTGGAACTCAGATGGGAAACGACGAGTTGGGCGTTCGAGGTGGCGGTGATATGGAGGAGATCGTGCGAGGAGGAAGTGAGAGCTTGTGGCTGTCGTGGAGCCAGGTTCAAAAGATTGCAGAGAGCAGAGTGGAATGGAGGCGTGCTAGTGAAGCCCTATATTACTTTTAGGAACCCAAGGGAAAAAAATACTGACAATACGAGAAATTGGTATACTTTTTTTGACACAAACGTCGACATTTTACAATCGATTAATTGCAATATATGAATGATACGTGTTTAGTAATTTTCAACCGATGGTTCAAGAGAACTGAGCGCAGTTCCAATTAATCATTACAAGTGAAGTGGAATCGGATTGCATTACCAGGATAAAAACAACTTCACTTACTAAGAGACAGGTAGTTCCACCAAGTGACGGGTTTCAAGTAGGATATTGACAGATAACTGCTACCTTGGCGTGATGATCGGGTTTTATTATTCTTTCCTTCCGTTCCTAGTGGAACATAGGGCTACAATAGCACGCCTCTATGGCAGTCTTCTCTGCGGTCGTTGGAACCTCACTCCACAACTGCCTACAAGCTTTCATTTCTTCGTCACATGATCTCCTCCATGTCACCCTCATCTTGGATACCCAACTCATAGTTTCCCGTATCGATTCCACCTGACAGTCTGGCCTGGCGCGTTATGATCTTCTCAGTGTATGCCGAATACACCTCCACTATCTTCTGCATAATTGTTGCGTGATAGGTTGTTGGTTGGTTCTTTACCAGAGTTTCTTGTTACCTATTCTTTGTGGATGGTCGAGTTAGCATGTGATAATCATCCAACGAGTTACACTGGATGGAACGCTTATTCCCTTGAGGTACTACTATGCCAGTAGAGTATCTTAAGATAAAAAGCAGTTACTGTTCTAGGGTAAATCATTACGAAATGATGGAGGTTGGGGGGAGGGGGGGTTGAAAAGGTATTATCCAAAGAAACAAACCTGAAAAAGCAATGGATAACCCGCCTGAAACTCACGAACATATAGTAATTGAATATTGATATAATGGAATCTCTTCACCTAATGAAGGATTTAATTCTCTTTCACTTCGTGATCATCATCATCATCATCATTATCAACATAGGACCAGGCATTACTGCGTAACGCTCCAACTTGCCACACCTCATATCAGCACACCAAGTAAGAAGGAAGTGGGGGGAAGGATGAAGATAAGTGAATGCAGTCAAAAGAAATAGAAAGTACGAGAAGAAAGGAAAGAGGAGTGACAAAATAGTGAGATTCGGTATAGCGTTGTTAAGATGAGGATAATGTGTGTATACATCTGCACCACTGACTTCGGTTCTGAGCCATATCACCTAGGGTCTCCAACAAGCACTGGTTCCTCTTGTCGCGCCAACCCCAACCACCTAGTCTGCATCGTCCTTCATGGCTTAAGTCAACAGTCAGAGACTTCATGGGTTGGTGGCATGTTTTAGTCTGGCCACCTCGTGCCTTTTTCCAGCCTGGACCCACCTCAGCCAACATTGTGTGACAAGGCAATCGGTGACTAGGCATACGTAGTACGTGTCCCAACCATCTCAGTCGATGATTTACCTCTTCTCCCCAAAACTCTACACCTAACTTCTGCATTACTCACATGGTGACACCACAGAATACGGCCTATACTACGAAGGCAACTGTGGTCAAACACTTGAAGCCTTCTCATCTCTTCCACTTTCAATGGCCATGTTTCACAGCCATACAGTAGAACAGAGTGGACTGCTGTGCAGTACACGCGACCCTTAATAGACAAACGAATATCACGGCGGCGCCATAGGTGGCGCAAATTGGTAAAAGCCAATCGAGCCTTTTGTATCCGTGCAGAAATCTCATCGGCAACTGACCAACGCACCAGGGTTGATCCTACTTCCCAGGTAAGTGAAGTGGTCAACACACTCAACCACTTCACTCTCTATTGTTAGCCGCGGTACCGCTGAAGACCACTCCTGGAGCAACAATTTGCATTTGGGTGCTGAGAAACCCATCCCAAACATCCTCAAATTGCCACTCAAAGTGTTCAGAAGACTCTGCATCTTGTCAGCGTCTTCACCTAACAGGACTATGTCATAACAGAGAGAAACGTTTAAGTACAGCATATTTTGGTAACCAGATTAATTTATTTTTACCTCGACCTTCACTATCAATATCTACAACATCTTCAAGGATTATATTGAGTAGATTCGATGTTATTCCACTGCCGCCGCCACCGCCGATGACATCAGGTGTTGTTATCTCTTCTAATGATTCATTATGATGATGATGATGATGATCTTGACTATCACTGATTATTGTCAAAGAATTATCTCCTACACTTGAATGTAAATTTATATATCAGTCAAGTCAGTGCTTTGCTTCTATGTGATGGTTGACAGACTTCATGTGATACGAAAAGCAGTGCGAACAAACTACACACATACATCATCGATAGCTGCCTCCTATGCGCACTCGATAGTGAAGATGAAGTTAGATGATGATAAAGAATAAGGAAGGAGGGATTGTTGTTGGGTGCGAAGGAAGCAACCAAGTAGGAATCCATCTTCAAACAAGTATGCATAAGAAAAAACTGGAGATGGATTGGATTGAGGACACACTGACGAGACGGATTGGGGATATCACGCGGTAAGCAAGGTCGTCAAGTGGAAGGCAAATGGCGGAGAACTACTCGGTTGTTCGACGGTTACCGCAGGGAGGAGATGGTGTGAGTAAGAAATGAGAGGTGATGCATGCATAATCGTGGAGAGAAAAGAGAGTGAAATGGTGACGTGGCTTAAAAAAACGTCAACATTTTACAATCGGTTAATTGTAACCGGTGGTTCAGGCGAATTCGGCGCACCTCCAACTTATCATTACAAGTACCAGGATAAAAACAACATCACTTACTGACGTGATGATTGTACCAGCATATGATAATCATCTAATGAGTTACGCTATCCTGCCAGTAGGATATATTACACAGCGGTAAGATAAAATGTAGTTATTTTCATCACCCAAATGCGAATTTTTACTCCAGAACTGGTCTTCAGCGGTACCGCGGCTAACAATAGAGAGTGAAGTGGTTGAGTGTGTTGACCACTTCACTTACCTGGGAAGTAGGATCAACCCTGGTGCGTTGGTCAGTTGCCGATGAGATTTCTGCACGGATACAAAAGGCTCGATTGGCTTTTACCAATTTGCGCCACCTATGGCGCCGCCGTGATATTCGTTTGTCTATTAAGGGTCGCGTGTACTGCACAGCAGTCCACTCTGTTCTACTGTATGGCTGTGAAACATGGCCATTGAAAGTGGAAGAGATGAGAAGGCTTCAAGTGTTTGACCACAGTTGCCTTCGTAGTATAGGCCGTATTCTGTGGTGTCACCATGTGAGTAATGCAGAAGTTAGGTGTAGAGTTTTGGGGAGAAGAGGTAAATCAGTTGACGAGGTGATGAACCTTCATCGACTGAGATAGTTGGGACAGGTACTGCGTGTGCCTAGTCACCGATTGCCTTGTCACACAATGTTGGCTGAAGTAGGCTCAACCTGCAAAAAGGCACGAGGTGGCCAGATTAAAACATGGCACCAATGCATAAAGTCTCTGACTGTTGACTTAAGCCATGAAGGACGATGCAGACTAGGTGGTTGGGGTTGGCGCGACAAGAGGAACCAGGTGTTGGAGACTGACTCTAGGTGACATGGCTGAGAACCGAAGTCAGTGGCGCAGATGTACACCCAAACACATTATCCTCATCTTAACAAAGCTATACCGAATCTCACCATTTTGTCACTCCTCTTTCCTTTCTTCTCGGACTTTGTATTTCTTTTGAATGCATTCACTTATCTTCATCCTTCCCCCTCACTACCTTTTTACTTGATGGACTGATATGAGGTGTGGCGCACAATGATCAAAGTTCACCTCAATCTCATCAACATGCTAACTACTGATTAAAGCATATAATAAATACTAATTGAACATTCAATAAATTAGTCTATACAACTTACTTGATATAATGGTATCTCTTCACCTAATGAAGGATTTAATTCTCTTTCACTTCGTGAAGTATACAATAACAGAGAGAAACGTTTAAGTACAGCATATTTTGGTAACCAGATTAATTTATTTTTACCTCGACCTTTACTATCAATATCTACAACATCTTCAAGGATTATATTGAGTAGATTCGATGTTAGCCCACTGCCGCCGCCGCCGCCGATGACATCAGGCGACAATGTTGTTGTTGTTGCTGGCATTGTCTCTTCTGATGATTCATTATGTTGATGATGATGATTATCTTGACTATCAGTGATTATTATTGAAGGATTATCTTCAACACTTGTATGTGAATGAATATAATAGTCAAGACGTCCATGTAATGTTCGTTCTAATTGACGTTGTTGTCCTAACTCTTTATACATTGTTTGACATTCTTCAGTTAATGTTGTTATCAATTGATTACGTTCATTTAATTCTATTTTATATTGTTCTATTGTATTACGTAAATTGCTTATATCCTTCCTTCCAATTGCCTTGTCACATAATGTTGGCCGAAGTAGGCTCAGCCTGCAAAAAGGCTCGAGGTGGCCAGACTAAAACATGGCACCAATGTAGGAAGTCTCTGAGTGTTGGTTTAAGCCATGTAGGACGATGCAGACTAGGTGGTTGGGGTCCACAGGACAAGAGGAACCAGTGCTTGTTGGACACCCTAGGTGATATGGGTGAGAACCGAAGTAAGTGGCGCCCCCCACTACCTTTTTACTTGATATGCTGATATGAGGTGTGGCGCACAATGATCAAAGTTCACCTCAATCTCATCAACATGCTAACTACTGATTAAAGCATATAATAAATACTAATTGAACATTCAATAAATTAGTCTATACAACTTACTTGATATAATGGTATCTCTTCACCTAATGAAGGATTTAATTCTCTTTCACTTCGTGAAGTATACAATAACAGTGAGAAACGTTTAAGTACAGCATATTTTGGTAACCAGATTAATTTATTTTTACCTCGACCTTTACTATCAATATCTACAACATCTTCAAGGATTATATTGAGTAGATTCGATGTTAGCCCACTGCCGCCGCCGCCGCCGATGACATCAGGCGACAATGTTGTTGTTGTTGCTGGCATTGTCTCTTCTGATGACTCATTATGTTGATGATGATGATCTTGACTATCACTGATTATTATTGAAGGATTATCTTCAACACTTGTATGTGAATGAATATAATAGTCAAGACGTCCACGTAATGTTCGTTCTAATTGACGTTGTTGTCCTAACTCTTTATACATTGTTTGACATTCTTCAGTTAATGTTGTTATCAATTGATTACGTTCATTTAATTCTATTTTATATTGTTCTATTGTATTATGTAAATTATTGATATCTTTTTGTGTAATTGATTGTAAATTTTTATATTTTTTTTCTAATTGTTTATATTCATCACGATTAATTAATTTAGTTTTATTAATTTGTAATTGATTTGTACGTGATTTCATTTCTGTATAAAATTTTTCAACTAATGTATCTAAATTACGTTGTTGTATTTCTTTATCTTTTTGTAATTGTTCAACACGTTGTGTCAAGTGATTATTTGTTGTTTCAATTGTTTTACAATGATTACGCATTTCATTTAATTGTTCTGATAATTTATTAATTTCTATTAATTTTCTATTTAATAAATTATTTAATTGTTTAGCTTCATTCTCTGTATTCATATGTAATTCATTATAATTTGTTGTAATATTACGTAATCGTACTTGTAAACTAGCTAATTCTGTCTCTTTATTCAGTAATTGATCTTCAATTATACGTTTATTATCTAAACAAGCATCGTATTGGCTTTGTATTCTATTTAAATCATTACGTAAATTATTATTTATTAATTTATTTTGTTCTAATATATCATTGATATATTTATTTTCATTTAATTGTTTATCATTTAATTGTTGACTTATTTCTAATTGTTTAGTTAATTCATTAATTTGTCTCTCTAAATTTTCACGTAATTCTATAACTGTAGTCATTAATGTTGTACACTTCTCTTTGACTTGTTCATTTTCATTTAATAAATTTTTATTTTCATTTTTTAATATTGTAATTGATTCAGTTAATTGATTAATTGTTATTATCATTTTATCATTATTATTATTATTATTATCTTGTGTATTCATATTGATAATAGTAGAAGGAGAAGTAGCGGCGATAAGCGTTTCGCTGGTATCGCTACTTTTCGCTGTCGCAGCTACCGCTGTCGCAGCCACCTCCTCCTTCTCATTATTAGGTAATTGAGATTTTTGAGAAATTTCTTCATTTTTATACTTTAATTCATTTTCTAATTGTTTAACACGTTCTTCTAAATAATTTTTTTCATTTTTTAATAAATTATTATTAGTATATTCTGTTTCTAAGGTAAGAGTTAATGATTCACATTGTGTTTTTATCTTTTCAATATTTAATTGTTGATTATCTTTTTCTAATTGTAAATTATTTAATTGATATTCAATATCATGTTGAATTATTTTTAATTGTTCCACTTCTTCTTGTGATTCAATAAGTCGTCGATTAAGATCTTTTAAATTAACTTGATCTTTAGCTGATTGACATTCTAAAGTTTGAAAAGCTTTCTTCAAATTATTCAATGTTTCTTCAGCTATTCTCTGACGTTCTAAAGCTTCATTCAATAATATATCATTATTCTCTGTTCTACATGTATCATTTACTCTTTGTAGAACATCATTACAATTGCTAGTAGTAGTAGTAGTATTGTTATTGTTGTTGCTAGTAGGCTGTGAAAACATTTCCAAATATCGATGATATCGATTGAATGTGAAACCAGCAAACGATAAATTACTTCCAGTGAAATAAGCTGGAGCTTGAGATCTAGCTGGAGCAAATGCTCCACCGCTATGCGGTAATTTTGCACCACCACCACCACCACCATTTTCTGAGCTTAAATCTCTATCATCAAAATTAATATTCGATGTATCTGTCTCTGAATTAACAATTGGTTGTATCGGTGGATTCTCTGATCTTAATTGTTCCCATTCAATTGTCTTAAAGAATGAATGTGATTTAACTTGTCGAGCAACAGCAATAGCTCGATTATTCTTTGAAGCAATTATTTCATTATCTGTCAATAGATCAAATGAACCAAGACGAGTTGTTGAAGATTTTAATAGATCTTTAATAAATTGTTCAGCTTCTGAAGAGATTGGATCTGCATCAATTGGTATATGTAATGATTTTTCATGTCCAAGAATACGACTATACGTTTCTACTAATGATTGTCCATAGAATGCTGGTTCACCAAAAAACATTTCATAAGCAATTACACCTAATGCCCACCAATCACATGCTGGTCCAATTTTACCAGGTTTCCCTTGACAACTCAACATTTCAGGACTAATATAATCCGGTGTACCAATTGGTGAGGTACAATAATAATAACCATCATTACCAACACGTACACATGAACCAAAATCGGCTAATTTCAAATGTCCACCAGCATCTAACAACATATTATCCGGTTTTAAATCACGATGAATAAAGCCTAATTGATGTAAAGCTTCAAGAGCAAGAACAGTTTCAGCTAGATAGAATCGAGCAATTGTCTCATCGAATGTATCATACTTTTCTAGCCAATAGTAGAGATCACCACCTGGCATATATTCCATGCATAGGTATACATTATCTTTATCCTGTCAAGTATTTAAAACAAAACAAGAATAATAGTTGAATTAAAAATAATTCTATTCAAGGGTTTCAGTGTTCAATGATGTGATGCACGCGCACAAACACACACACACACACATAGGAGCGTATAATTTGCTCCCTTTTCTGCGCGCCATCACGTACTCCCTCCCTCTCTCTCACACACGCACAATGAGGTAATCAATCACCAAAAATATGATCGACAAACTCATTCACAAGTCAGTAGCAACAATTTGATCACGTGAAGTCATCAACAAGCTGCTTAAAATACACTTTGTTTACAGATAGCACGCGTACGAGCGCACGCATGTAGCTCTACTTGACCTTGAGTTTACTTGTAACCAAGTTTATCGATTGGTTGAATGGCAATGACAATGGTGATGCCAATGTGCTACGACATGACTACGGTTCACAGCTCACATACAAGCAAACATGCAGTGATATACAACATGGTGACCTTGACTGTGTCCATTAAAACAGAGGACAAAAAAACAAAAGATGTGTTCAATCTTTAATAATTTCAGAGAAACTATTTCTCTTCTTAATGGAACACGTAAATACGGGTGGTAAAAATACTCCACATCAACAATTCAGATGAAGACGTTAGTGGAGACAGAGAGAAGGGGGTGTGCACATATGAAAAAAGAAAATGGAACTAGTATCCCTCCAGTAAAAATCGGTGATTAATCAATCATGAGGAAAACATTGATGCATTTAAAAGGTACACACATACACATTCCATGGGACGTCTTGAGGTAAACTGGGGACTAACTGACTGACTGACTTCATCAGTCCAATTAGCTGTCTTGCATTTCACCTGACCTCACACGGTGACACCACTAAACGCGAGCACTGCTACAAATATATTTATGCTCGAAACCCTGATATCTCTTCATGTAGTCTACCTTTAATAGCCCCTTCTTACAGCCGTTTAACAAGATGAAACAGGCTGCAACCGTCCTTCGATAGACAGTTGGATATCTCGCCAGTTGGTGCAATAGATGACGCAAGTTGGCAAATGTCAAACGAGCCTGCTATATTTTAGTTGAGATTTCATGGGTAACCAGCTTGTTCAAACTACTGAAACTCCTTAAGTGAATCAAGTAAGTGGTCAACACGTCCCATTAACTCCACTCTCTATCATTAGGTTGAGAGTATCATCTAAAATTTGATAGGTCCCAGCAAAACGCATGCCAAACATACACAGATTTCTGTTCAAAACGTTCAGAAGACCGTGTATTTTATAAGCATCTTTACCCAGGACAGTTATTACTATTCGCATTTGTCCCTTGGGTTCTAGTGGAACATAGGGCTTCAGTATCACAATTCCATTTCACATCCTCTTTTGCAGCCGTCTGCTTTAACATGGCTCCACGACTGCCGAGAATTTTTCATTTCTACCTCATAATATCTCCTCCAAGTCACCCTTGGACATCCAACTCGTCGTTTCCCGTTTGGATCCACTCAACAGCCTGACCTAGGACGTGATGTCAGCAAACCGTCTTCTCAATGTATGTCCAATCCAATCCTCCTTCATTTTCTTCTACACATTTGTTGGGTGATAGGGTTCTTGGTTGGTTGGTTCATTGTTAGCCAGAGTTCCTCTTTGCTTATTCTTTTTGGCCTTATGATCTCATCTTCAGTACCAAGTGAGAGTAGAGGGCATCTGTTGATGATGTATATCTGCAGTTTGTTGGAAATATTTTGACAGATAGTCGGACAACTCGCCGATGCCAAAGGTGATCTAGGTTGGCAAATGCCAAATGGGCCTTCTGTATCCAAGCTATTTTGTCAGTAAACAATCCGTTTGGACAGGTGTACCACTAACCAATAACAGTCACGTTTCACAGTTAAAGCATATAGGCAATGGGAAACTGTAAGTACCAATAAACAACTATTTCAACCTGCCTTAGTGGATAGCCCCCTCTGAGAGTTTGAAACCTAGCGGAGACAGCACCACTCACTTGTAGGACAGGTCCGTCTAAGTGACGGGTTCCAAGTAGAGTACGTTGACAACATTATCTTTTCAGGTGAAAAGAAGCTGATAACATGTAATCTTCAAGAAACATTGAACTTATCATCATACGTAAAGGTAAATATTTGCTTCAGAACTGGTTCGTGTTGACACCTCATGTCTAACAATATGGAGTGAAGTGAATCAGCGCATTCATCACTTCCTTAACTTTCAAAAACTTGAAAGGTGGAGGACACAAGAAGGATTCTTCAATTTTCGCTTTCATAGCAATACAGGAGTTAAGTGTAGAGTTTTGGGCAGAAGAGAAGGTGCCACCTAATGCGGTTGTTAACTTTCATCAGATAGCTTGAATGTGTCTACATTTCCCTATACGGCTCAGAACAACAGTAAGGGACTTCATTGACTTGTGCTACGAACAGGCTTGGTCTACCTCAACTCTCTTTCAACCCAACCCAACTTCTCTTAATATGACATCCAGGTAGCAACACATATGCAAGCCATCTTAGACGACTAAGGTTTTACAATCTCATCAATCGACTTGCTTTCTTTGCTAACACCCTTTCTCTGACGTCGACATTATTCACACGTTTTACATAGTCTCCTTTTAACAGTCACTTTTCACCACCGTATAACAGAAAATAGAAGGGACTACAGTGCGATATAACTCCTTCTTCCATTTATTATTATTTGTCCCTTGAGTTCCTAATGAAACACAGGGCTTCAGTAGCACGCCTCCAGTGCAGTCTCTAGAACCTGGCTCCACGACAGCCAACAAGCTCTCATTTCCTCCTCTCACCATCTCCTCCATGTCACCCTCACATCCAACGCCCAACTCCCACTTTCCCATCCAAGTTCCACTCGAGTGACTGGTCTGGTGCGTCATGTCCCCACTCAACCTTCTCAGTGTATGTTCAATCCAATCCATCTCCACTTCCTTCCACTGCATATTTCTTCAGCGATAGGTTCTTGCTTCGTTGGTTCGTCACCAGCCAGAGTGACTTTCCTGTTGCTTATTCTTATTATTCTGGCCATCTGAGCTTCAGTAACGAACCACCGTAGGCACTTGTTGATGAATGTCTGTAACACGTAACAAGTCTCTGAGCCATATAGAAGCAATGATTTGACGTTGGTTTTGAAAAGCTGGATGTTGTTCACGCTTTATGCTGAGTGCAGAAGATCTTCACACTGGTTTCAGGTTAATGAACGCCTGTCTTGCTGTCTTCCCGATCCTGGCTTTGACGTCGTCATCTGTTCCGCCTGTAGTTGAAACCGTGCTGCCTAGATAGGTGAAAGAAGCTACTTCCTTTGGGTTTCTCCGGTTAGTGGTGATTGGTGCTTGTTGTTGCTGTTGGTAATGTTGATTAGGTATCTTCATCACCTGTGTCTTCTCGACATTCACTTGAAGTGCCGTCTTCGCCGCCCTGCCTCCTCTGTCAACTTGTCAGTTTTCGCCTATACATCTTCAAGTTTGTGTGACATTAGACATAAGTCATCGGCGAAATCCAAGTCTTCTAGGATCTTTTTCTCGGTCCAGCGTATCCACCTCTTCTCACAGCTCCCACTATTTGCTGCATGATCCAGTCGACTAGAATCAGGGAGATCATCTGTGATAGTAGGCAGCCTTGTTTTACTCCTGTCTTCACTTCACCTCATTGTGAATTACTTGGCATGTGGTGTCTTCATATAGTTGTTGAATGAGGCTGATAAAGGTTTGTTGTATTCCGTAGTGTTGAAGCAGTTTCCAAATTACCTCTCAGTCGACGCTATCAAAGGCCTTCTCAAAGTCGATAAAGTTGAGGTACAGAGCCGACTGCCATACCCTCTTTTAAAAGATAGTTGGCAAAATGTCAACTCACGATAAGCTCGAATACAGTTGGATGAGTTCTAGTAGAAAAGTTTGATTAAACATCAGTTCGTTTACAACTCAGGTCGGAAGTAACATTCTAATCAAAAGTAACGGCAAATTTGACTACAGATATATACTCGTCAGTAGAAGGGCTAAAGAATTTCATATTTGATTGATATAGCACACGGTAACTGATACATTACATATTATTTAACTGGATGACTTTTCCAGTGATTATACAGAGTTATCAACATCTGATTTTTATAGTCCTGTCACCTACCTCATATTCCTTTGCTTTTAATGGTGATAGAAATCTCTATACTTTTGGTGTCATTCCTATTATCCATGAGTAGTTGGGTGGGCGAGGTTGATTCGATGAATAAAGATTCAGTAATTAATCTCTCCCTCCATCTCCCAACAGTGGTACAGTGATCTTATCCTACTCATCCTTTTATGTGGTTCAATGCGTTAATCCGTCCAATTCAATAGTCGAGTTTTCTGTCAGATTATTCATCCCTATTGAGGTTTATCATTCTATAGTTGGTTTAACTCCCAACTTCCAATAATCTAACTGACTCTAATCGGCCGGTTTAACCTTATTTACTTGGTCTTACAGTCACTGTATGGTATTTGCTAGGCCAAATTATGTTATCCAACTGACCGAAATAGTTCATCACTGAATCCGGATCTTGTTGTTCATGCTGAGTGCAGTGCAGTGCATTAGATCTCCACACTAATTTCAGTTTAACGCAGGAAGGCCTGTCTTGCTTTTCTGATCCTGGCTTTGACATCCTAATCTGTGCCTGTGCCGCCTATAGTTGAAACGATGCTTCCTAGATAGGTGAAAAAATACTACTTCCTTTAGACTTCTCCCGTTCATCGTGATTGGTGTTTGTTGTTGGTGGTTGTTAGGCATCTTCATCACCTCTGTCTTCTCTACGTTCACCTTAAAGGAGTCCCGCCTTCGCTGCCTTTTCTGTCAACTTGTTGGCTTTCACCTGTACATCTTCGAGGTTGTGCAACACTAGATATAAATCATCATAGGCGAAATCCAAGTTGTGTAGGGTCTTTTCACCGGTCAAACAGTGTATCCCCATCTTCTTGCTCTTCACTGTTTGTAGCATGATCCGGTCCAGTCGACCATACTGAGGAAGATCATGAGTGAT